TGCTGATGCAAAAAAAGCCCTCCAAGGCTGGGGCAGAGTGGCTAAGTTGTGTGTGGCTGTAAACAGACATTGGCTTTGAAACATGGTTTTCTCCTACGCTCAAGGGCCATTTTGTTACTAGGAAAAACCCATGGGGTAGTTTTCGTAAATCAAAAAGTAGTCAGTAATTTCATTGGGAAAAAATTGAGCTATCCTAGAGCCTGAAAATGGACAACTATTTGTACTAAAACACCAGCAAATTCCCTTAAAATGGTGCCATTTATTTTAATAGGTGACATCGGTCAGCATAACACAGCCTCTAAGGCATTTTTACAACTCGCTGTTCACCTGCCTCTTCTGCCCTGGGAGGCTACTGTGTGTCCCAAGTACAATTCAGCTGGGCTCATATAGAAACATTCTGTGTCTGTGTAACTCAGCCAGTGATGGGGAACTCTACAAGGGCTGGGGAGGCAGCAGTGGTCCCTGGAAAGCAACGTCAGCAGTGGCCCTAGTGACCTGAGCATGGGGTTTGTAAGGAATGCTGATGACCAGCCACACTTTAGGCCCCACTTTGTCCTTGCTGGGGACTGTCAGCCACTGGACTTGTGGAAAAGCTCTCTTGTCCCACTGGTTGAAGTAGGGGGAGGGGAGGAGCTGCCAGGCAGGGGACAAAGGACAGGAGTGTGGATATGGTTCAGATGGTGGTTCCAGGCTCAAGCTGAAGAGAGCAGGAAGAGAAGCTGGGGCAGGGAAGGCTCCAGGCCTGGGAGTAGATGGAAGAGTCTGGGCACTGTGAGCCCCATGGAGAGTCCGCTGGGGGGCTAGCACAGGAGCCTTCCAGGGAGGAGTGGTCCTGGGGGAGGCAAGCTAGAAGATGGGGAGGGGCTATGAGATAACCGTGGCCAGGCCAGAGGATATGGGGTGACAGAAACAGGGGATGCAGCCAGGGGCAGCCGGGCCAACTCCTCAGGAGGGGTTAGGAGGGTAGGGTGGGGAAAAGAGGCTGACAAGAGGGCAGTGGGTAGGGGCAGAGGAGTCTCCTCCAAGGGACGGTAGGAGAAGGGGTGGCTCAGGCAGCAGGAGGGCATTGAAGAACTTGCTGAGAGGTGCCACCTGAGTGAGGGGCTCCCAGGGAGGAGGTACGCAAGGCAGTGCCTGTGGAAGGCAGGACAGACTCCCTCTCTGTGGAGGTCCCTGGTGAGTGGGATGTCCAGGTTGGGTGTCTGGCCTAGACGAGGCCTCCTGGCCCTATCTAAAAGGAGGTGCCCTCTTCTTAGCGGGGTCTTGGGGCCTACAGGGTGCAGGGACAAAGAACTCTATCTCAAGGAAGTCAGCAGGGGCAGCTCTGCAGATTGCTTTCACTGTGTATGGCAGCTTGCCTGGTGTGTGAGGCCCCCGAGCAAACATCCTGAAGTGAACAAACGCTCAGCTTCCCCTGCTACACAGTGGCAAAAGCTGTGTCAGAAAACCAAGTCTTCAGGCCGGTGTGGTGGCTTGAACCTGTAATTCCAGCACTCTGGGGGCCAAGATGGGTGCATCACCTGAACTCAGGAGTTTGAGACCAGCCTGAGCTAGAGCAAGACCCCATCTCTAAAAAATAGCTGGACATTGTAGTGGGCGCCTGTAGTCCTAGCTACTCTGGAGGCTGAGGCAAGAGAATTACTTGAGCCCAAGAGTTTAAGGTTGCTGTGAACTGTGAGGGCAACAAAGTGAGAGTCTGTCTCTCAAAAAAACAAAGAATAGAGACTGAGTCTTCATATGGGAAGGACTGAACCGGGACCCAGCATCACACCATGCTTGGCTGTTTGCTCGGATGTCAAGACGGAAATATAAAAGCTAAACCAAAAAACTTCTACAAGAAAACAGGAGAAAGTCTTCATAACCTTCAGGGAGGTAGTTTTTACTACCTTGTGTAAGCAAAGATTTCTTAGGTCACCAAAATCATCATCTGTAACCCCTAAACTGGTAACATTAGACTCCACCAAACTGAACATTTTTTTGTATTTTTGTTGTTGTTGTTTGTTTGAGACAGAGTCTCTCGTTGTCACCCTGGGTGGAGTGCTGTGGCATCACAGCTTACAACAAGCTCATATTCTTGAGCTCAATCTATCCTCTTGTCTCAGCCTCCCGAGTAGCTGGGACTACAGGTGCCCACCACAATGCCTGGCTGCTTTTATAAGCAGGTTCTTGCTCTTGCTCGGGCTGGTCTCAAACCTGTGAGCTCAGGCAATCCACCTGCCTCAGCCTCCTAGAGTGCTGGGATTACAGGCATGGGTCACTGTGCCCAGCCCAAACTGAAAATTTCTGCTTTTGAAAATCTCCTTTAAGAAAATAAAAAGTCAAGCCACAGACTGGAGGAATTACAGTCATCCCGGTATCCTCAGGATTGGTTCTAGGACCCCCGTGTATACTAAAGTCTGTGCAGCTCAAGTTTGGTGGAAAGCAGCCTGTGTATAAATGGACCCTTGCTCTTCAGAACTGCTCCTCAAGGGTCGACTGTCCTCACAGTGTGTGTCTGATGAGCTACTTACGTCCAAAATACATACAAAGTTCCTGCAGCTCAGTCATGAAAAGACAGGAGTCCTACTGGGAGAAAAATATGTGCAAAGGTCGTGAACAAGCACCTCGCAGAGTAAGGGAGACAAAGTAAGGTTGGACAGCACTTGTCATCAGGGCAGGAGGTCAAAGCCACCATGAGCAGCCATCCACTCCACACCTGCTGGTGGCCTAAGCTAAATAGGCCAGGTGTGGGTGTGGAGGGGGCCTGGACTGGGCTGCCACATGTTGCCTGTGGAAATTTGAATGGCATGGCTGCTTTGGGAAATAGTTTGGCAGTGTTTTGGTGAGGGGTGACTATCAGCCTACCTGCAGTGTTCCTTTTAGGTACTTACAAGACAGATGAAAGTTTCCACACTAGGACCTGTATTCATGGGGTCATGGCCACCAGAGACAGGAGACAGCCCTAGTGCCCGTCAGCAGGTGAATGCTTGAGCAGATGGGTCCCTCTGGACTCTGGAGTACTACTGAGCGGGAGCGTGGACGGCCTGCTGACTCCTGTGGCTGTGGGGTTTGTCTCAGACACGCCATGCATAGACCAAGAGACCAGACAGAGCTCCCCAGTGACCAGCTGCACCAGTTTGCAGTTCCAGGGGAGAGGAGAGCGGTCAGGGCTGTGAAGCCAGGGGTGGGCAGAGGGGTGTGCAGGGACAGGAAGGGCCTACATCTTCATGGGAGCAGTGACCCATGGGGCCTACCTGTGGGAAGGCTCCAGCTGCAAGTCGCTTTGTAAGAACCCACTGTGCAGTGTGGCTGCCTCGGCCACCTGCAGTGACTAAGGGCTGCAGACTGAGGCATGTGCAGGTGTAGACACAGAGTTCCACACACTCCACATGGGAAAGGGAGCAAAAGAGAGTTTTGATTTAGAATAAAAATGAACTACACTTATTTCTTGTTATTTTAATGTAGCTGCTTCAAAATTTTAAGTTACACAGGCCACCTCCGTTGTCTCTGTTGAGCAGGCTGGCATGTGTAGTTAATGTTTCATTTATTTGACAAGAGCAGTGTTAAGTCTGATGTCATGGGAAAGGCCAGTTGTTTAGAATTTAAATGGCTGCATCTGTGTTAAGCTTTATTGTACAATCAAGGTAATGTTGAGAAGAAAACAAAGTGGTGTTTGTCTTCTGCCCTCTTACCTAAGATGAGGGCTGCCTTTGGGGTGCAGTGTGTGGGTCGCTGCTTGGTGGCCAGGATCATGTGCAGTGGCATCCTGTCTGCCAGGCCCCAGCCTGGCAGGGACAGGAGGGAGAAATGGAAAATAAATCCTGGTCAGGGAGAGGCAGGTGGAAGGAGCGGCTCTGCAGGGTCTGCCCTAAGAGATAGCCTGGGCTGTGAGTGACTGGGGAGTGTGTCACAATGAGTGTGAGTAGGTGTGAGGTGAGTGGAGGGTGTGGGTGAGTATGGATGCAATGAGTAGGGTGTGGGTGTCAGTAGGTGTGAGATCAGTATAGGGGTGTGGATGTGAGGTGAGGGGCTGTGAGGCAAGTGTGGGGTATGGGTACAGGGCTGGGGTGTCACTTTTGCTGCCTTCCTGGCCCCTCCTGTGCCGAGAGCACAGCACAGCCTTGGCCCTGGGAGTGGTGTGACGGGCTGGCCAGTGGCCACATGCTCCTTGGCTGTGGCCTTTTTGTAGTACCCAGAAGGTTGGCATACTCTTGCTCTACTTCATGCTCAGAGGACGCCTGATCGGTACTCCCCTACTAAGACTGCTGCTGAGAGATTGTGCGGAGATGCTCGCTCCAACTAATATTGACTGTGTCTCCTAAGGTGCTTCAGCACCTGAGATGTGAATGAGACCTGCCCTGAGTAAGCTGGCGAAACGGCCTGTATCTGGACAGTTGAGTGGGCCAGGGCCAGAGACCTAGTGTCCCGGCTCCGACACCAGGGGATAGCCGTATGCCCAGGCCTGTCTCCCTGCTTTCTATCGCTGAGCCGGGGCAGGGCTCTGGGCAGGTGCCCCCTGCTCTGCCTGTGTTATGGTTTGATAAGAAAATGAGGATTGCAATACTGACAGCCCCTTGAGAGATCAAAACAGAAAGTCTGTTAGATCTTAAATAAATGTCGCTTTTCCAACTTCTGGCTTAATTACGAACAAATTCTATTAAGTAGAAAAACAGTATTTGCTACCATATGTTTTAATTTAAACTGTCATATTCAAGCTATTATTATTTGTATAATTCTTTTAACTTACTTGAAACATATGAAGGTCATTCTGTTTTTTATGAAAAAACACAATGAGCACACAAATGGCCCTGGATTGTAACTTGATGAAAAGGTTCAGAACGAGTGAGCACACACTCCCATAGACTGCAATCTGAACACATCTCCCGGTAGAGAAGCATCATGCTCAGACCTTTCCTGAGATTGTGAGAGGACAGACTCTGGGGTTTGTCCTGAGTTTGTCCCAGCAGAACCACAGGGACGAGGACATGGTCCTGGGAGGAGGCGTTGGCACTGTCCCCACCCTGGCTGGGAGGTAGACTCACCCAGGAAACAGGAGAAAGGATGTTCTCGTCCTGGGGACAGAGGTTGGGTTCCCAGAGCTCTCTGAGGCTCTGCTGTGGCTCGTGTCATCTGTGCCCTCTTAGCTGAGACACACGCCTGCTCCCAACTCACGTTCAAATACCTAGTCTAGCCCATCCCCAATAAGTAACTTGGCAATTTACTAGTTTGTTTCTAGTCAGCTAACTACAGAGTGCACAGTTCAAAAACTCACAGAATTTGTTATACTTAGGAGGTTATTTTGAGGGAAGCTCAGCTGGCAGTGCTACCAGCTGGCCTTGCTAAAGTTTAGCCTGAGCAGTAGCCAGCACCCTGCTGTCCCCAGGCGAGCTCCTCTAGCACATCCTCCCGGCATCACTTGTGTCTAGCACGTGTGGACTTGGAGACATGGCTGTTGACAAGAGCTACAGCTCATGGTCAGCTCATGGTCAGCAGGTGCTGCTGTTAGTCTGTTCCTCCCCAGGAAAGGGACGTGACCGGAGTAACTTTGTTCTGGCAAAGGCACTGGTGAAGACAAGTGTCTTCTTCTGAAGAGAAGTCCCACGGGCTCTCCATCAGGGAGGCAGAGAGCACTGGATACAACCAGTGTTCACTCTCAGAATGTACCGCCAATCTGTGAACACACAGCCCTCATGTGTTCCTCTGCACCTCCCCTTTCCCCAGCCTGTGTGTGTGGCCAGTGCTGACCCTAGTGGTCAGAAGACAGACCAGGCAGAGGAATGGGGCTGGCTGAAGAACAGGCCACCGGCACAAGGCCTGCAGTGCTGCAAGGCGAGGCCTGTTCGCTTAGCCCAGGGGGAGGCTGGCACTCGAGGTGGGCCTGGGCTGCCCGAGTGTGCTGTGTGGGGCTCCACAGATGCAGCAGTGGGCCATACAAACTAGACCATCTTATCTTTACCTTTTCCTAGGAAAACGCAGCACAGTTCCCTGGACCAGAGTTCTCCGCCCCAGAGTGGGGTGTCGGCCTCCTACAACCACCCTGTGCTGGGAATGTACGATGCCAAAGACGACTTCCCTCTTAGGAAGACAGGTCAGTGCCAAGACCATCATGGCCTAGGAGCCTCATGGTATCTTCCATGCTACTCATGCAGGGAGTCGCCTGCAGGTTTCAAAACACTGTGTTTGCTTCTTTCACGAGAGCACCATTCTGAGCAGAAATCCCTAAGCATTCTCTTTATGACCAAAAGAAATGAACCTCATGTGTATACCTTCTTTTCTAAACTGATTTTTAAAGCAGGTAAACATTGGTTTTCTTTAGGTGACATTTGACACTTTGTCACCAGGCTGCTCCACCTGAGTGGGGAAACTCTGTGAGGTGTGCTGAGGGCTGCTGCCATCCTAAAGACGGGAGTCTGGGGCAGACGTTGGCAGGGTCCCTCCAGGGGCAGGGCTGCACCCCCAGATATCTGGTGTTGCACCAGGGCTAACTCATATTCGAGGGCTGGGAAGTGGAAGGGAGGCGTCTGGTTGGGCCTGAGTGAGACATGCCTGTCAGGCCTGCTGTCTCCTGGTTCAGGGACATATGAGGACAGTGGCATCCCCATGCAGTGGGCCATATCAGGACAACACTGTCCCTGGTGCTGGAACCCCAAAGTTATTGTATGTGATGTTAAGCAGGGATGTCCAACCTGCTTGTGATGGCCACACATGGGACTTTTTTTGCTTATAGATATCCTGAAAAATATGCAGAGATTTTTTTTTTTAACTAATCAGCTTTCATTTGCTTGTGTACTTAATGTGTGGCCAAGATAACTCTGACTCTTCAGAAGAGCAGAAAAAAGATTGGACAGTCAGTGCATTGGCAGAGCCTCTTCAAGTAAAGGGACAAGGACCCTACCATGGAGTCATCATCATTTTCACCCTTTATCTGTGAATGTGCAACCCTGCCCTTTCCTGGTCAGCTGGCCTAAGCCTGTGGTTCCTGCCCATCAGTATGCAGAGAAGGTCTGAGGTCTGAGAGCTCAGCAGGGAGAGCTGGCTCAGGTGTCAGCAATCCTCCCAGAAAGGTGTGCTCATTAATAGGAGACTCTGACCAGTTCTCACAGATTGCTCTCCAGGTCCCCTTTTTAATCAAATTCAGTCAACACCAGAGTCCTTAGAGTGTCAGGCCTGTGCTGGGAGACAGACCCAGGGACACAGAGTCAAGGAAGTGCCCACCTTGAGGGACCTTGGCTGGAGAGTGGCTTGAAGTAGGGGGTGAGGGATGATGGGCACTCTGCCCGAGACAGCCCGGCCGGTCAGTGCTCACCCCGTTGGTAGTTCTGTGTGTGCTGCCACAGACTCCATGTGTTCCCCTGGCTCCTAGGCCCAGGACAGCCCGGCTGCTCAGTGCTCACCCTGTTGGTAGTTCTGTGTGTACTGCCAGAGAATCCATGCGTTCCCCTGGCATCAAGTTTTCTCATCAGTAAAATGGCTCTAACCCACCCACAGCCTCAGGGCTCTGGGGATTTGGTAGAAGGACCACAGGTGTGTGGCCAGCAGCATAGTTTTCTCTCCTCCTGGGTGTGATGACCATGGCAACAGGCCTCTAGAGCAGTGGACACAGGTGAGGGCACAGAGGGACTTTTTAAAATACCACACTTGACTCCCCGCCCTCCCTAACCGAGCTTCCCAGGAAAGGAGAGTGCACATCTGCCCCAGGTGGCCCACAGCAGCTGTCCTGCAACTCCATGCACCCTCCACTGTTGACAAAACAGCAGGGCTGGAGTGGTCCAAACCTGCTTCCTCCCCTACTCCCAAATAGCTCCAGACTGCCTCATAATCAGCTCCTGTTCTGAGAAACTCAGCATGAGTGCTTTGGTAGCAAGGGCTCCTGGGAGATTGGCAGGGTGAGAGAGTGCACTCTGCCCAGGCCCTGTCCTGCTGCTATCCATCGAAGCCATGTGGCCCAAGATCAAGGGCCCCTCTGATCTCCCAGTTGCTGTGGCTGTTGTCCTGTGCCCATGCATCACCTCCGGGAAGCAGTCCCCAGCCTTCCATTTGGCTTCTGACCTACAATACAGCCTTGGCCTCCAGGAGAACAAGAGAGTAGATTCTTCATGTGTAGGGAAGTGCTATTTAGGACACACAGTGTTCCAGAAGAACTTAATTAATTCTTGATTGCAGTGTCCATTCTTCTAAAAAGGTATTAATTACTAGCACATTAATCTTATTAATATTAATCATATTAATAGTATTTCAGAGAAACCTTTTAAACCACTTAAGAGAATCTTGTATAGTCATCACCTTGATACATTTACTTTCAAACACCTGAAGTCATTAAAGCAAGTCTACCTGTGCACTTCTGCAAGCACAGTTACGTGAAAGACTAATTAAATGAAATGTTGGTTACGATGTACCGTGAATGAGTGATGATCTTCAGTCATTGTGATGCACACTTAAGCATTGCAGGATTTTGACTTCACCTCAGTTGACTCTGACCTTGCATGCAGTTTACCCATCTCTGACTCTTTAAAGGACACTCGGGTGAGACATGATCATGTGAAATGCTTGGCCACTCTTCTGCTGGTTTCCTTATCACACCAGATGCTGGTGGACTCTGTGGATGACAGTTCACACCTGTACCACCTCAAGTGTCTCATTTCCCTTATGAAAAACATGAGGCAACTTCTGAGCTTTTGCAAATTCAGGGAGTTTGCAAGACTTCCCTGGCCTGTGTGGCCAGCCCAGTGGCCCAGCTCACATCCAGCTCTTTTACTTATCACCCTGTGAATTAGGGGAGTTCTTGAGCTTCTTGTGCCTGAGTTCTGATGTTTGAAAAACAGCCTTCTCTCCTGGGGACACTACGAGAAATAAATGTGCTAATGTTTGCAAATCTCTTTGAGGAGGACCAGATCAAGGTCGGTTCCTCCTCTCCTCTCCTAAGCTGTTAGCACCTTTCTTATCCCATCCCCCCACCCAGTCACCTGCTCCAGACTTGGCATCTCCCAGAGCCTCCCCTTGAGGCTCCCAGTGCTTCCTAGTGAGGCAGCAGCAGGCAGAACTGCACAGCTCCACATGGTGATGAGCACTAGTGCTCACAGCCAAGAGTTTGGCCCTTCCCAGCTTTGGGCTCACCTTCACCACCTGAGACCCATCTCCCAGGTCTCAGGAGCTCAGGTCTCAATGGTGCCTCCAAATCTGGGTTCCCCAGCCTTGGGCTCACCTTCACCACCTGAGACCCATCTCCCATCTCAGGAGCTTAGGTCTAGATAGTGCCTCCAAATCTGGGCTCCAAAGTTAGACTCCTTGACTCAAAGCCCAGGTCTACCTTCCTGTTGGAGGCCCTGCTCCTTTTCTGGGGGTTGACCGCAAGGGTGTCTCCACTGAAGGAGCCCCTGCCTCCCACCAGAACTCATCATGGGCCTAAGGTGAGGGTGTGTGGTCCTTTCCCACTGCTCCTGGGTAGCCCCCAGGCCTACCCTGCCTTAGGTTTATGAAGACACTGCAGAGGTGCTAAACGTGTGTTTTCAAATATACTCATGAGAGATAAGATGTTCCAGGAAGTTGTCTGGGTCCCTGGCACAGCAGCCCCAACTGGATCAAATGGTTTATCAAGAAATGTCATTTCTGCAGCGCGTGGGAGGCCACATTCACACAGACAAAGAAAGGCCTCTTCTAGTTACAGAAGCAGAGTTTGTCAGTTTGGTTATATTCAGGGGTTTCGTTTTTCTCCGGTAGCATCTTTATCTTGGCTTCCTAAAGATATTAGCTGCCATCTGTCTTTTATAATGGCTCCTCCTCAGTTTCTCTCTTATGTGACTTCTTAGTGAGGTCAGAGGTTTAGACAGGACACCTGACATCTGGCTAGCACAGGCCTCTCCCATTCACTGCAACTTCTTACACTGGGAATTGTGTGCCCATGTGGAACCCCTTATCCAGGACCCTAAAAGGCCTGTGAATTAGGGGAGTTCTTGAGCTTCTTGTGCCTGAGTTCTGATGTTTAAAAAACAGCCTTCTCTCCTGGGGACACTACGAGAAATATATGTGCTAATGCGGATCAGTGAATACTGATCATCACTGTGGCAGGCTGGTGGCGTGGGCCACCACACTGACGTGGATTGTGCAGGGTGGGCTGGTGGCGTGGGCCGTGGCACTGACATGGATTGTGCAGGGTGGGCTGGTGGCGTGGGCCATGGCATTGAGGTGTTGTGCAGGGCGGGCTGGTGCCGTGGGCCATGACACTGATGTGGATTGTGCAGGGCGGGCTGGTGGCGTGGGCCATGGCACTGACATGGATTGTGCAGGGCGGGCTGGTGGCGTGGGCCATGGCACTGACATGGATTGTGCAGGGCGGGCTGGTGGCATGGGCCATGGCACTGACGTGGATTGTGCAGGGCGGGCTGGTGGTGTGGGCCGTGGCACTGATGTGGATTGTGCAGGGCACGCTGTAGTACACTAACATGGGTCACAATGTTGATAATGTCTCCCTAATTCTCAGGGAGAATTAGCATGTTCCAGAATTGTGAGCCTGGCCCCTGGGCCCAACTCCCACAGCTGGTTTTGAATAGGGAGTAGACCAAGCTGGCCCTGAGGATGGATGGCCCCTACACCAACCTGAGTCATTAGCCATGTATACTGAGCCCCCGGACTCAGTGTGGGCCAAGCCAAAATTGCTATAGCTCTGCCCTTGTGTTATGGCACTTTCTGACATCAGTCATCAAGGCCACAGCTGCCCATGGAAAACACCCCCTAGTGACCTAGATAGGTAGCATGCAAGTCACCCTCTGCTGAGGGGAAGCTTCCCATGTGCTTGGTGAGGCAGGATCTACGTAGGCCCTGCGGCCAGCCTGGTCCTCACTGCCTGCTGGCTATCCGTTTGCCAGCCTGCACTGTGAGGGCAGGAGTGCTGTCACCATCGTAGGACAGTCCGGGAAGAACTAGCTCCACCATTGCCGCTGTGGAGACAGCAGGGGTTGAAGTAGGTTGAGGTCAAGACCGCATGGTCTAGGAGGGGAAGTAAGGGGAAGCCTGGGCCCCTGCGGATAGCTCCCACAGGCGGCCTTCCTCACACAACTACCAGTGAGACTGGGAGGCAGAGGCAGCTGGTGCTCTAACACTCCTCCTGGTGCGTCCTGTCCACGTTCTGCTAGAGGTATCCATCTGGTGGACACAGCCCATGCTGCCTTTAAAAGGAGTGTGGGTTATGACAAATCATGCTTCTTTCCAAATTTAGCCTGAAAACATGCAGTGACACGCTCAGTGATTTCCGAGGTGCTGTGAGACCCCAGTGGACATACCCATCACATGGAAGGCAAC